ACTTATTGAGTACATTGGGTCGGTTGTACTCATACTACACTCTGCACTTAATTGTGCAGATCCAGGTGTGGGGACCAGTTATCAGCAATAGATTTGCTTGTTGGACTGATCATCGAGAGGCGAGCTAGAGCTGCATCCTTGGCCGCAGTTTGACTTGTCTTTTCTTATGTACCGTTGTTTCAGTTCAAACAATATCATTATTTAGTTTTCAGACTTGTATTCCGTTGTAGAGCTCATGACTCCGTATTTACCAGTTTCTGGGGGATTTACCTTGTATTGGTAGTATTATGTTACATTGAGGTTGTAAGGCCCCATGAAATTTTACCAAGAACCTGGTGTTTCGCGGTACGAACTTTTTGGGTTGTGCAATGCGTTAAGGAGTTCGAAGAATAATTTTTACAGAACATGGCATTTCTACGGTCCACTATGCGACCGCAGAGCCACTCTGCGGACCGCATATCCACCGCAGAGCGCAACAAGAACAAAGGCAATCATTGGAGGTCATTTTGCGTCCGCATAATCATTTTGCGGGCCACACTTTCATCATAGATTCAACGTGAGAAAATTTTGAAGGGAGATTTCACGGCGCGTTATGCAACCGCATAACTGGTCTACGAACCGCAGACCTGCCACAGACCTGCCGCAGACCTAACCTGATCAGCCTAGTTTATGGGACTATTTTTGCGGTCCATTTTGCGGGCTCCAGACCTGATCTGCGATGCACTCTGCAACCACAAAGCTGAGTTCGAAGTGTCCATTTTGTGTTTTTATAACCCTAACTCATTTTGATTAAAAGCCACTGGGGCTTGTTTTGAAGTCATAAACCTATTGTTTTAGAAAGGTGAGAGTATCCTAGAGAGAGAGGAAGAAGCTCCAACCCCTTCTCTCATCAATCCTTTTCTGATTTTGAAGATTCAATGGAAGCCACCCATTAGACTATCAACTATCCGGGTAAGACTTTGTCCTAAAACCTTAATGCAATTGTTATGGGTTTAAGTAAGTTGTGGAGTTAGAGATAGGCCATGCATGTGCCAATAGGAGGTAGTATGTGGGGTTGTTGAACTATTTCGGGTAGATTCTTGTTGAAATTGGTTGAGGGAGGAGGGATTACCATTGTAGAGCCTTGTAGTCAATTTTGCATAATAGGTATTTGACGAAATTTCCAAGAGACTTATATCATGAGAATCCTTCTAATTATGATTCGATTTTTATCATCTTCCTATAGATTGGAAATTGCTAGGAGTATTTGGACGTTGTAGTAACCTAAGTAAATCTCAAGCAAGGTATGTTTGCTAAACTTCTCTCATAGAATCGAATTTCATGATGTCCTCGTATGTTTCAAGCGTGGTTGGCCCAAGTTCTTATTTTCTCATGATCCGGCCATTCCTAATATATTCAGTTATTCCAAATAAGCATTGTGTCGGAAATTATATGCTCAAAATGTGTTTCAATTGCTTCTATTACATTATGCTCTCCTTCGGGAATGTATTCAAGTATGGTTTACGTATCAAAATGTTATGACTTAAATCCATGTTTCAAATGCAAGTTTGTTATGCTTAAATTTTGGAGAGAAGACTCAATGTGTTTAAGACTCCTATTGCTCATATACATATTTAAAGTCTTGATTCCAAATGCTCTTATTGTTGATGATAACCTATGATGATGCTTGAAAGTGAAAGAAGTGAGTATGAGATATAAAATGTGGCCATCGTGCCAAGAATTAAAACTACACTTGTGGCCAATAGTACCAATGAAATGAAAGGATGTGTGAAAGATTACGAAATGAGTTTTAACTCCGTTATACAATAAATATTTTGGGAGTATCGTTAGTCACCAAGGAAGGGTAGGTTGAAATAATCTAACCCCGAAACTGCACGTGCCGGTGTAAGAGTGATTGAGGGGTAAATCCCCTTATTGATGTGTTGAGATTATTCCCCTTAAATAGGATAATATTGATGTGTTGAGATTTTTCCCTTTAATGGGGATGAGATGATTGCTAGCGGAAAGTGATGTCGACCCACACGACATTATGGTGAGACGGCTTAGCCGATCGGGACGAGATCGGAGGCCATGCCGCGCATATGGTGGTGTTGTGATTGGATGTCTTTGGGTGAGACGACTTAGCCAATCGGGCTGAGATCAGACTCTGTGCTAAAAACACGATGGTGTATCGATACTAAAGATCTCCCAATTTAAAAATATGATATTTACTTGAAAAATTATCTTTCTCTTAACTTGATGCTTTAATATTGTTTGAGGCTCTCATTGATTCCATGCTTCTTTCTCCTTGTACTATTACTCGTTTCATTGAGATGGTATTTAGTCTTACATACTAGTACTATTTCATATGTACTAACGTCCCTTTTATCGGAGGCGCTGTATCTTTAATGGATGCAGGTGGTTCCACAGCAGGCGGCATCGATCAGTGATAGCGGTACACCCTCTTCTCAGCTGACTTGGTGAACCCCACTTCATATCGGGGTCATGTATCTTTCATTTCTTATGTATAGTGTTTTGAGGTATAGCCGTGGCCTTGTTGCCGACACCATCATATTACTCTTATATATCCATTAGTGGCTCCATAGACATAGTGTCACATGTTTCCACTTCTAAACTATGAATGTGTAATGTATTTTTGGAATTGTAAATGAAGTAACTAATGGTAAGGAAATTGGTGTTGTCCATGAAATTCTCTCATTGTTTAACAAATGGTATACATGTTCACTTTATCAATGGGTAAGGTCGGGTAGAAGGCATCAAGTAGGCTTGCAGGACTGGGATATCTCGATTGAGTGCCTGTCGCGCTCCCTAAGACCGGGGGGTGATAGAGGTTTCAGACTTATGCTATTTCTATAATTTATATTGTTCGGGTTCTTTATTGTTTTGTTTCGACTTGCCTAGCCAGTGTATTAGGCGCCATCACGATGAGTTAGGATTTTGGGTCGTGACACATATAAATTTCATAGCAGAAATACTTCTTGGCTCTCAACAGAAAATTCTCAAAGTCAACCTAACTATTTTCAGATTTCAGATTCACGTACTTTCGAAAACAAAAATTGTATCTTGAGCTAGGAGTGTCAGAATTTTTATCCATTTGCACCATTCGAAAATAGTCTCAGGGAACTGAAACAAATACGAATTTCATGGCAAAACCCATTTCGGGTTGTCAACAGAATTTTTTTGAAGTCGACCAAAGCGCAGTAAACTTTTAGATTCGCATACTTTCGGCAAGAAATAGCATATCTTGAGCTAGGAGTATCAGAATTGTAATCCATTTGCGCTTTTAGAAAGTGAACTCAGAGACCTGCAACATATGAATTTTGTGGCAGAACTAATTTCGGGCTGTCAATAGAAAATTCTTGAAGTCGACCCAAGCTTAGTGAACCTTCAGATTCACATGCATATAGAAATTTCGAGGCAGAACACCTTCTGGATCCATTAAAGTTCCACATCATGTAATGCTAGACTCTCCAGAATTCAAATTACAAGTTCCATAATTATATCATACGATGGAGGGAGGTGTAGGTTCAATTCTCCTTAACCTCAAATTTTTAACAAAAATGCTCGCTCAAAGATGTTCAAAAAATAGAATGTCTAGGTCCAGCCTCGAGCCTACGACCTTTACAAGCCTAAATTTTAGCTTGACGAGTAGACCAAGAAGTATTCTTTGTTATGAAGTAGTGTTTGTTATATATTGCTTTATTTTTGCAGAATATTAGTATAAATATTTAATATTTTTTTCCGGTGGAAGCGGTGTCATTTGCAGAATATTAGTATAAATATTTAATATTTTTTTCCGGTGGCGAAGCGATGTCGGATGACACCGCTTCCACCCATGTGCATCCACCCCTGAAGATATGGCTTGTTCAGCAGAAGTGTACACAACTGCAAAACAAGCAAGTTGTACTTAGGAGTCATCTTGAAAAACTAGTTCCAATCAATTTAGGAGGAAGTTCACTCTAAAATATTTACCCGTTGTTGTGTTCGAGATCTGGTTTTTGTTGGTTTAGAAAGAAAGCTATTCTGACTAACCCACAATAAAATATGAATTTTTGATGTGCGCAGAGTTGGTAGATCCATGACTTAGAAAAAAAAAAGTAACTTCACCGCACATGATCAAGGCATCTTTACTACCTCTCCTACACCATATGACGAACTCTTCGCTGCTTAGGCCCTTTTGAACAATGACAGAAGCTCGCAATGCTTAGGAACACAACATAAATTCTAACATCTGCTCATCAAGCATAATAATTAAGTTTGACCTTACACAAGTGTGTTTTCATGGGATAAACTCCCTAGCTCGCAATTGCGAATAGCCATTCGATCAAAAGATCCATGGGTGGATGGGTGTAACAGAAATAAAGAAAATCATCTTTTCAAAGCAATGAAAACTGAAGAATCTTTTCAGAAGCATAGTTAAGGTATTACATAACTTCAAATGCAGTAGCCATTTGCCTAGTAGCTAATCTCTATACAACCAACCTAGCTAGTTCTCAAAGATTCGCTGCATTTTGGAGTTTCAGCACTTGTCCATCAATTTTCACTCTCCACTTTGGATCTGGTTCATGACTTTCTAGTGCGACACTTCATTTGTGTTTAAACAGAGATGTTAAATAACAACAGGTCGTACATTCAAGCTCAAGCATAGCAGCTTTGAAATCAAGGATGACATAATTTTGACTTGTCTCAAGTTACTGGTCAAACAAAAACTGGAAAAGAAACTTTGGTCGTTCAATCACCTTTCTTAGTAGCACTAGGAAGCAGTAATGAACAAACCTGAAGGTGCATCTCTGACCAGCAACACACCAAAACAGGAATTATACAAAAGAGTAAAGAGGGAGAATCGACCAAGCAAAGAATCTGAGCATCATACATTTGTAGAAATGAACTTCTTCAGAACTTCTACACCAGTTAGTATATCTCAATTGAACCTCAATATATTTGTATAATTCATCCATATGATAATTCGTAGGGAACTCAAAATTTAATGAGACAGTGCAAATAAAAAGTAAATACTTTTATTGCTCTAAGAAAAGAAATATCAATACATGATATTCGTCTTAAAATAAACAGGAATCCTAAGTGAAAAAGGAGAATCTATAACTATTGAAAAGTTTTGGAGCTAAGGATTTGCTGGAGACTCGTCTTAACTACATCTTTCAGGAGGGACAATTTTTCTGCTTCATCATCAGACAACGGGACATTCGCCTCAATGGTATGAACCTCGCCTTCGGTAACTGTGATTTTCCTTTTACTTTTGGACAACTTCTCTTGTTGTTTATCTAGGAGTGCGATGTTCTTCTTATTTTTAGAGGTCAAGGATACTAACTGTGTTTGATATTCACAAGAGCCACATGAAGTTTCTCAGCGGACTCATTTGCCTTCCCATATTCCCGCTTCGCATCATTGAAGCATTTTTGTGCATCAGAGAGTGACACTTTGTGGGATTATTTAGTCATCTTGGATGATCTTAAAGCATCATACTCTGCATACGTCTTAAAGAAAGCTTCAACAAGATCCTCCAAAATAGAAGTACCAATGATATTCTCTCTCCGTATTTCCGTAAGAGTCAAACTGATGCTTTCCTTCAAGTTCATAAAGTTTTTCGAGGAATATACAAATAACTCTTTAATCCACTCTCACAATCTACACCACATCACAATAATAAAAGTTTGTTTGATACGACAAATAGTCCCATGCGACTCTTTGCTTGAAGCACCAGGCTGCAACAACCATGAGGAAGGCCTGAACGACTTCGGGCGCATGACTTTAATTGCAGCATCCATAACTTCATTCGTCACAACTGGTTGGATGAGCTTTCTATTACCTGGAGAAGAGGAATATGGCTTCCTTGGTGGAGTTAACTCCACCGAATAGGCTACACCCATAACATGATCCTTAGAACCGTTAAGAGGGTTATGGGAGCTCTTGCGGTCATACCAAGATCATCTACGCCTGCAAATCAACCCTCAATAATGTCATCTACAAGATCATCACCGCATAATTACTGAAGATTTGACTGAAAAAAGAAGAAGAAGATGTTAGTATTGAAAAAGGAAAAAAAAGAAGGTAATAGAAATACAAATAAGATAAATTTTACTTGTTCTGGTAATTCAGGAAATGGCATTGTTAAGCCGGTATCCTCATCCACAAAGGAATCATCCCCAATAAGAATGGTATCTAAGACATCAGTACCGTATTATTCATCACCCAACTCCTTCGCCTTCTTGTTCGGACTGTTCCAATGGCGGTCTTCGCTAGATTCACGCTCTACTGGATTGGAAGCTATAGTAAAATCTCCAATACTATTTGGCGAAATGGAAGGATGAGTCTTCTCATCACAAAGTGGCACGAGGCTGGGCGCTCTATTACTGCCCTTGTTCGGCGAAACTAGATGCTCCTTCCTTTTGCAAGTGTTGCTGGTTACCTTGGGGGCAGTAGTAGCCGCCTTCGAGGCTAATGAAAGATGCCTAACTTTATTTTTCGTGGGTGCATCCACATCCTTCACGACATTGAACTTGGAAAGGGTCTGGGCTGCTTGCAAAAGATCATTTGATTTCGTCTTGGATTTTGAAGAAGAAGATAACTTTATTTTCAGTCGACTCGGGACCCCTTTGGATCGCACGGGGACCTGATCTTGCCTTGGACTTTTCAAAATGATGTGCAGGATCCTTCTTGAAGGATCTAGTCGATGGGTTGGCCACCACTTAAGGGTGGCATGTGGGCCGGTCCCGGTCATAAGTAGGCTTCGCGGGCACGGTCTTAAGTGGGCCAGTCCTATGCGGTCCGGTCCTAAACGGTCCCGGGCTTCGCGGGCTTCTTGTTGGAATCGGCTCGGGACCGGGACCACGAACTATCCGGGTTAAGTGGGCCGGTCCCGGGTTAAGTGGGCCCAAGCGGGCCTAAGTGGGCCCAAAGGATACATTCTATTTTTAATTTTTTTTATGTAGAAGTTAGAGAAAAAAAATGGTAATAAAGATATATAAGCTATATTCGATTTATATACTATA